GCAGTTTGATCACTATCAACGAAAAATAGGACCATGATTTTGGCTCATGACAAGCACTTTGATTCTTTATTTTCAAAAATAGTGCAGGCCCTCGTGATTTTGGCCTTTTATTTGTCACCTCGTGACAATTGTGTTCCAATAAGACCGGTACTAAGTTACTAGCTATGTTCGAGCTAAATGATTTGAGAAAAATGAATCTTAATTTGAATAGCGAGTTTCGAGCTGCTGATGAACAATTTATCGAAATTTCTAAAGCTACATATTTGAATGCATCAATTGGAATTTGAATATGTGTACATTATTTTAATTTCATACACATTTACGAGTACTGGTTCAACTGCTGAACAGTCGATTCGTTGCAATTGCCAGTTAGTTTCGATATTTTTAGGCTATGACATTAAGGAGCATGTAGTGTTGTAAACGAACCGAACCGAACCGAGCTTGGGTTGTTCGGGCTCGTGTTCGTTTACATTCGAATAGTGTTCGTGTTCATTCATTTATTTTTCGAGCAAAAAATCATGTTCGAGTTCGTTCGTTTAGTTATTCGTCAAAGTTCGAGTTCGTTCGTGTTCGAATAATTTAATACATAAACTTTTTAAATATGTTTGATTAACTCAAAATTTGTTCGTTCGAACTCGAAAATAAAAGAATAAAATAAAAATATTGTTGTGATTTAGATTTTTTATTCAAAATATTATGTAAATATATAAAAAATTATATTATATTTTAGATTTTTTATTAAAAAAATTATGTAAATATATAAAAATAAAATAAATTATATTAAATTAATATTCACGAACATAAACAATCGTTCACAAACGAGCTCGTGTTCGTTCGATTATTAGACAAGCCTAATTTTCTGTTCGAACTCGGCTTGATTAACAAACGAACGAGCTTTTGTCGAACACAAACGAGCTTTTGTTCGCGAACTTTCGGTTCATTTACAACTCTTGGAGCATGCTATAGTTATAACATCATTGCTGATATAAAGTTTCGCATAATATGTAAAATCTTATGATTTTATAAATCACGTCAACTTTAAAATCACCAATTCATACATTTAAACATCATTTATGTCACTTTTGATATTAAAAATTTGTCATTATTCACGACATTAATAGCAATAATAACATTACAAGTTCTAGTTAGTTTGGGTTTATTTTAATTTCTTTTGTGGCGCTGGAGTATAAGGGGGACGATACGGATGGCAGCAGGACAAATCTCGTGGTTTACCTCCCAAAGTAGTCGAGAGGCCAGCCACAAAGGTCCAAGACTGACAGGCGTAAGCAAAGAACCTAAGTAAAAAAAAAAAATAAAAATAAAAATAAAAAATATTTACTAACGGGTCGAATAGCGGGGTTGAGGAAAGTCCAATTTGTTTACTAATTGAGTAAAAAAAAAAAATGATGTGACATATTCTAAGTACTATTTATTTATATTTCTAATAGGTTATTAGATATTTATTATCCATTAAATGATGCACATTCATTTGGCTATAAAAATTCATATATTTTGACTGTCATGTGGACTACAAAGTCCAATTTGTGAACAGGTGGAAGCATTTTTCTTCATTCATTCTGTCCAGCTATTTTAGTCTGAAAATCTGAAAAATGAAGTAATAAAGTTGTTAAAAAGCCCCTTTGAAATTTGAATTAATTAGTAAGGGAAGTTTGACTGTCAAATATTCGGCTTTCATCTTTACTGATATATAATTAATAAGGAGAAAAAATAGGGACAACGAAAAAAGGAACTAAATCAAGAGTTTTTGTGTGAATAATATTACTATAAGATTTTAATATAAATTTAGATCCTATTATTGAAAAAAAAAACTTTTTTTACTTATTTTTGCTCCCCTAAATTACTCAACTATTTATGTTATTTTGAAATTTGTTATAATTTTACAAAAATGTAATTGAGTAATCTTCTTTTTTTTTTTTGACACTTAATAAAATATTTTATACATGTCGACATTATCAAATTATTTTTATTTGATTTTATTGTTATATTTAATTCTATTTAATTATTTTTTAACATAAATTAAAAAACTCATTTGAATATACAGGATATGCACAAATTATTATATCAATTAATCTAGGAGTATTATTTGGATGTTCTTAAATTATCTAGATATGTAATTATATTTGATTTGCTTATAAATTTAGCGGAATGCTATCAGCTCGTTACGGGATGGTTCCGTTGTCTTTTTTAACTGTAACCGTAAGGGAAATTAAGAAAAAAGAAAAAAAAAGGTGAAAATAAAAAAGAAATAGATACTCCACATAAGTCCACACACTCTGTCTCCTCAGATTTAAGAACAGTACTCTCTCCTCTGCACACAAATCTGCTCTCACATTAAATAAAAACAAAGAAAGTGAAAAAAAAGGAGAAAAAAAAAGGCCACTGGATTTTACTCAGCTCGCTTTTCCCGATCTCCGATATATCATCAACGCCGTCAACGCCGGCTGCCGGAATAAAGGCACATACGCATTTCTATTAAGCTGTTGTTCCTCTTCACATTCTCCGACCTGGTTGAAAACCTTGAAAACCCATTTTGTTTTCGGTAATCGGCGGCCTCTGCAATTACACTGGTGCGTTTGTGCGGTTTATCTGCTGCCTCTGGCTTGCAGTTGACTGTAGAGCCGGTGTATTGGGCGAGGATGGATAGTGGATTGGGGATGGGGTGTTTGTTTGGATTTAAGGCTTGTTTGGGAGATTGGGAGTTTGTTTTCTGATGTCACGAAGCGGAGATAGGATGAGCAGCTCTGACGTCGGACGTGCCGGTGGGCTAGTCGAGAGAGACATTGAGCAGGTATGGATTGACTTGGGTTATTGTAAATGTTTATTTTGATTCAGTGAATTTTCGTTTATGAGCATTGTTGATTCTCAAGTTATTGGGTTAAGCTGCAGTGAATTAGTCGCCTTACCGATTGTTTCATGGAAATAGGTTTGGTTGTATCCTGTTTCCTTGATTGGAGCTCCTTACGATTGAATCACTTTGCTTGTAGTGCTACTTGTATTAGTGTAAAATTTTGTTAGATTCAAATTCGAGTTCATTCTTACCTTTTTTTTTTCTTAATAATTTGTGTTTTGTTTAAGCATCTTGATGGTTTCTCTACTTTTAATCATTTGGACATAAAATATTAATAGTGAAATCATTTTCTAAGGTGACAGCTGATTCATTCACATCATGAGGATGAATTTTGCATGCGAGGGGTGGCGTTGGGGGTTGGGGATGGTCCCCCTTTTATTTTCTTTGGCAGCTCCTTACTGACATGTTGAGTTTATTTTGCTTCTTATAACTATACATTCTCGTTTTCACATATGCGTAAGATGGTGGTTCTTGATTTTGAAAAGGGTTAAATAATAATGCACAGGTGCTGCTAGTGGATAAGATTAACCGTGCGCAGAAACAGATAGGCCTCTTTTGTATCTAGGTTTTATTGATTCACGTATTTGGTTGGAATGGCAAATGCATAATCAGACCAACATGCTGAAACTGGATTTGCTAAATCATATTGGAGTGGGAGCTACATTACATTTATTCTATTTTTATATATTTATTATTTGATTTTTTGGCAACCCTCGGCTGAAGAACTTGGAGTATTGTTCTTCCTGCTGGTTATGTTTTCTGCATCATTTTCTCTTGGTATTTTTGGTTCCTGCTATCCACCTATTCATGAGACGACATTTGGTTGATTCTTCACCTGCCGGAAGCAAGATTTGGATTCATAAAATAACTTATATAACTTGATCAAAATATAGTAAGGTTCTTGCCGAGCCATCATTATATGTATATATGTGTGTGTTTCTATGTGTTTTAGTGAATGCAAACTGATTCATAATGCTAATTAACATAAAAAAAATTGGAAATCTTTCACTTCTATACTTAATTAAAAGGTGTTGCTACAAAGAGAAGAATTATTGTTACTGACATTTATTTTCCTCGTGTTTGCCATTTAAGATAAGCTATGTGCCCATTGCCTTGTTAGTTCCAGTGGGTTAATCTTTCTTCTTCTGCATACCTCCCAATGAAGTCTTTGTGTTTTCATACCTCCCAGTGAAGTCTTAGTTGCTATCCTTGGATGTAGAGTTGAATCTATAACTTCTTATCTTATCTGACTCCCAAGCAAGTGGTCCAAAATCTATTTGCTCTGGCCTTGAACATCATGCTACTCGGAATGAATTATTTTCATATAGCTGTAATTTCTTTAAGCTTTATGATGTAACTGCAATGCTTATATTGAGCATGGTGAGTGAAGACACTGATAGAAGATTCATAATTTTAACTGAATATGTATAACAGTGCACTTATCATTTTATTTTTTTCGCATGATTAATTGTTTCTAGTGAATTGGTTGATTTAGTATACAACAACAACAACAACATCCCCAGTATATTCCCAACTGGTAGGGGAATTGGTTGATTTAGTATGTTCCTATAAAAACATGCTGTGCCTGCTAAATTTAGTATTTGCTGATTTCTCTCAGGCCATCACTGCTCTAAAGAAAGGTGCCTACTTACTGAAGTATGGAAGAAGAGGGAAGCCCAAGTTCTGTCCATTTCGGCTGGCAAATGTAAGTCCACTGGGTCTTCTGAATCCTGTGCTTTGCGCATTCAGTGCTTCACCAGATTTATTAAACAATCTTGGGTTGCAGTTTTAACTCCATTTGTTGTCTACTTTGTCTTCAAGTGGATTAGATGATGAAAACTTCATTGTTATAGAAATGTATAATGTATTGCATGATTCATAGCCTGTTGGCATCTTGAGAAATGTGCACAACAGTACATATGTATGGATGCTTCATTTAGCTGCTATTTATTGCTCGGTTGCTCTCCGAGATGATGTAAAAAACATCATCAATGTACAATAGCTTTATGATTTGAACACACGTCGAATTTTGGAACATCCTGGGTGTCCCGTCCTTTTATACAAGTGATAATTAACTGTATTCCATAACATTTTAACCTATATCTGTTGATTCAATCGAAAAATTCTTTTCTTTTTGTAGGATCTACATAGGAGCCTGACAAGTGAATGCAATTTAAAAGTAATATGCATCATGTATATTTTATCATTAAGGAAGAACTTTGTAGTTTCTGCTATTAGCAAGGCTGCTGCAATGATAATTAGAAATTAGTTTTGTTTCAGTTGAGCTGAACTAGTAGAACATTTCCATTGGATGATGTTCAGATAGGAGATCAATTAGCTCTCTTACATTTTACTTGAAGGGTCTTTATGCTCCCACTGTACAGATTATATCCTTTTAAGTCGTACCCTGGATGATTCAGCTGTTAACCTTTACTGTACTGGCAGAGATTAGTTTAGACTTATTGAATTTTTGTCATATCTTAGAAAGACATTGGAAGTTTGAATAAATGGGTGTGCTTGATTTCAGGATGAGTCTGGTTTGATATGGTTCTCAGGAAAAGAAGAGAAACAGCTTAAACTTAGTCAAGTTTCCAGGATTATATCTGGGCAGCGGACTGTAAGTTTCTTACCTCACAATTCAATTTTTATGTTGTGCTATCACGTGTCAACATAGTTCACAGAACTTGACGGCTGGTATAGATGATACATAATTTCAACAACTTGATTTGGTGGAAAGGCTAATTTCTAGACTTACATTTTTTTCTTTTAGTTCTTTGCTTTGGCTTCTATCATTAGTAACTGTTGTGGTCAAATAATTATTGGATCATTCTATTCCTTGATGCATGTATTGTATACGCATGCCGCAAGTTCAGATGGATGATTTCTCTATGTTATATTTTGTAAATTCAATGTTAATGTGAAGTCCTGCTCCCTCATCTTTCAGTGTAATTTTTGTTTCTATTGTAAACTATAGCTTGCTGATCCTTCCCTATTTTTTTCTTTACTTGACCCATATACCTTACTCACTGACATGTTTCTGAAAGCGAACATATTTATGCCTCTTGTCTAATGTATTTTATATGTGCACGTAGAACCACATACCCTTGGTAGGCTGTAATGTGAGGTTGCACCAATTAATATCATTACAGCTATCAGAACCAGGAAATATGCTGGAAGACTATAAGTTGGCTAGCCACCAGGCTAATTGTGAATTATATATGATACCACTGTTATGCTTCTGAAAATAGTGGATTGTTGTTACTAGTTTACTGTCCTTTTCTCAAGGTTAAAAAGTTCGAAGCCTTTGAGACAAACAAATCATACATCTTCACCTCAGTGTTAGTTGACTGGTTCTGAGAAAGGGCTAACAGACTGTGAACTCGGTGATTAGAGATTTCTGCACTGTGGATTAAAAACTTTGATCATGTTTGTCTGTGATTTGAACAGGCATTATTTGTTAATACATCATCCAAATTTTCAATGGTCTGAGTGTCTACTTGTTTCCTGTTCTAGCCAATTTTTCAAAGGTACCCACGCCCTGAGAAGGAATACCAGTCTTTCTCTCTAATATACAATGATAGGTCACTTGATTTGGTAAGAGTCTGTTCTTTTTTCTTTCTCTGAATCTTTAAAAATTATATTGTCCTTGGGTTATTTTATGTGCAGCAATTGGTAAACAGATGTTCTGTATCATTTGTCTTTCATAGATTTGCAAGGACAAGGAAGAAGCGGAAGTGTGGTTTAGTGGGCTTAAGGCACTGATTTCACGTGGCCATCATCGTAAGTGGAAAACAGAATCGAGGAGCGATGGAATTTCATCTGGAGCTACGAGTCCCAGAATATACACAAGGAGGAGTTCACCTCTGCATGCCCCATTTGGAAGCAGTAATAGCTTTCCAAAGGTTTGTGATTTTATTTTTCCTTTAGGTACATGCATGCCCATGTATTTACTCTTCCGACTTATATGTGCTGGACCTTGCACATAGAAGCTCATTTTGTCTTGAAAATGTTGGAACTGATATAAATCGTCCATCCCTTCAGCAGGATGCTGCTGATCAACTTCGCCTCCGTAGCCCTTTCGTAAGTCCTCCAAAAAATGGATCGGATAAGCCATTATCAGACATGGTATTGTATGCCGTGCCTCCCAAGGGTTTCTTCCCTTCTGACACCACTACTCGTTCCAGCCTTCCCCTGTCATCTGGAGGTTCGGACGGTTTACACAGTCAAATGAAAGGTACAGGAGTGGATGCCTTTAGAGTGAGTCTCTCTAGTGCTGTAAGCTCGTCCAGTCAAGGCTCTGGTCATGATGATGGTGATGCCATGGGGGATGTTTTCATCTGGGGAGAAGGCACCGGTGACAGCATCATGGGCGGGGGACCCCACAGTGCAGGGAGCAGCTTTGGCCCCAAAACAGACGCCCTGCTGCCGAAGGCGTTGGAATCTGCAGTTGTTTTGGATGTTCAGAACATAGCCTGTGGCGGTCGACATGCCGCCCTGGTGACCAAACAAGGCGAGATATTCTCTTGGGGTGAGGAATTGGGAGGCCGGCTCGGTCATGGTGTGGATGCCGATGTCTTACACCCGAAGCTAATTGATGTCCTGAGCAACACAAATATTGAGCTTGTTGCATGCGGCGAGAACCACTCTTGTGCAGTCACCCTCTCTGGAGATCTGTACACTTGGGGCAATGGCCATTTCGGTCTTTTAGGGCACGGGAATGAAGTTAGCCATTGGGTCCCAAAAAGGGTAAATGGGCCGCTGGAGGGAATCCATGTTTCCTCTATTTCGTGCGGACCCTGGCATACGGCTGTTGTGACCTCGTCCGGGCAACTGTTTACTTTTGGTGATGGGACTTTCGGAGTCCTTGGCCATGGAGACAGGTTAAGTGTCTCAAAACCCAGGGAGGTTGAGTCCCTGAAGGGTCTGAGAACTGTAAGAGCAGCCTGTGGCGTTTGGCATACGGCTGCAGTTGTTGAGATTATGGTGGGCAGCTCGAGCTCCAGCAATTGCTCTTCGGGAAAACTCTTCACATGGGGAGATGGTGACAAAGGTCGGCTCGGGCATGGCGACAAGGAAACAAAGCTAGTTCCGACCTGTGTTGCTGCTCTTGTGGATCCTACTTTTTGTCAGGTTGCGTGTGGGCACAGCCTGACGGTGGCTCTTACCACCTCCGGGCACGTGTATGTCATGGGTAGCCCTGTTTACGGGCAGCTGGGTAATCCTCAAGCTGACGGGAAGCTTCCGGCTCGAGTCGAGGGGAAACTGGCGAGGAGTTTTGTGGAGGAGATTGCCTGTGGTGCCTATCACGTGGCCGTGTTGACTTCAAGAACTGAGGTCTACACGTGGGGGAAGGGGGCAAACGGTAGATTGGGTCATGGGGACACGGATGATAGGAGTTCTCCCACTCTAGTTGAAGCTCTGAAAGACAAGCAAGTGAAGAGTGTCGCTTGCGGTACTAATTTCACTGCAGCTATCTGCCTTCATAAGTGGATCTCAGGTGTAGACCAGTCCATGTGCTCTGGCTGCCGTCTGCCTTTCAACTTCAAGAGAAAACGCCACAACTGCTACAATTGCGGGCTTGTGTTTTGTCACTCGTGCAGCGGCAAGAAGTCGCTGAGGGCTTCTATGGCCCCTAATCCAAACAAGCCGTACCGCGTATGTGATAATTGTTTTGATAAACTGAGGAAAGCTATCAACCCCGATAAATCGTCTCAATCATCGGTTAGTAGAAGAGGAAGTATGAATCGGGTGATTAACGAGAATACAGACAAGGATGATAAGCTGGATGCGGGATCTCGTCCCAATCTAGCTAGGTTCTCTTCAATTGAGCCTTTGAAGCAAGGGGAGAGCCGGACCTCCAAGAGAAATAAAAAGCTGGAATTTAATAGCAGCCGTGTATCACCAGTCCCTAGTGGAAGCTCCCAATGGGGGTCGTCGCTTAATATCTCAAAGTCATTCAATCCAGTTTTTGGATCCTCTAAAAAGTTTTTCTCAGCTTCAGTTCCTGGATCAAGAATTGTTTCACGAGCAACATCACCAATTTCAAGACGGACTAGTCCTCCTCGTTCGACTACACCGACCCCCACTTTGGGAGGTCTGACATCACCTAAGATTGTTCTAGATGACATAAAGATGACTCATGATGGCCTTAACCAAGAAGTTACTAAATTAAGAGTGCAGGTGAAATGACTTACTCTGAGTTGCATTCCTCACACTCGGACATTTTTTTTTATTTTTTATTTTGTCTTCTTGATTCGTATTTGGTTTCCTTTCATGCTTTAGACTTCTAGGCATTGGGTCAGTGTACTGATAAGATGAAAATGATGGACACACCAATTGCCATATACTGAACTTACTCATAGCCTGTGGTTGATGTAGATGAATCACCATCCATGTTGCCAAAAGTTGCATAAAATTATGATCTTTTCTTTTTCTGGCTGTCATTGAATTGGAAAAGTGAGCAATAACCATCTAATATCTATGCAGGTGTGTGGGTGTATCTGAAAAAGTGTCTATTCACTTTTTTATGCAATAGACTTTTTCCTTTTGTATGAATAAATACTGCGGATGGAAATAATGTCTCCAAGCCTGTGTTTCTAATTTTCACAATTATTTTAATTGTCAGCTATGGAGACTGACGGAAGCATTCAGCAGCATTTTTTTACAGTCTAGAATAACCGGTATATTAATTTTGCCGTCTTAAGATTGACGGCTTTTTTAGAAACTTTTCTCCAGGTCTCCTTTTGTTTTATGCAACAAATGCTATATTTGATTTGAAGTCAGTTTCTGGGAGTGTCTTCCAATATACTGACATCTTCTCTCAGGCATGCAGATTTTTCCGCTGACTTTTGCCTCCTCTGTGTTGGCTAGGGAAGCATGCTTGAATAGCTTTTGTGGGAAACTCGGAGGATAGATTTATGAGATCCTTCTTAGTAATTACCCAATAGAAATGCATCCCTTTCAAGAGATAATGATTGTCTGAAGTTTTATCAGAATTTGAATTTGATCCCTTTTTTTATGTAGGTGGAAAATCTCACCTGCAAGGCTCAACTTCAAGAGCTAGAGCTAGAAAGAACAACCAAACAGCTGAAGGAGGCAATAACAGTTGCAGGGGAAGAGACTGCAAAATGCAAAGCTGCAAAAGAAGTCATTAAATCGCTTACTGCACAAGTAAGAAAATTAGTTTCTCCATTTCTTTTCCACACAGGTAGTTACAGGTTTAGTTCACATGCACTCCAGTTTTTCAAGTTTCAACAGCATTAGTTGCCAGCTTATATCATCTGGCATGCCAGGGAAGTTTACATGTAAACTGTTTCCAATTCTAACAGCTAAAAGTCGATATCTTTCTTGGTTTTCTTATTTATTATTATTATGGTTATTATGTTAGAACCTGCATCTTTTTAGGCTTAACTTTAGATTGTTTTGTGAAAAAGGAAAAGATAGAATGGTGCACAGACATCAGTTCCTGAAGTAGATGATACTAATACGTTTAATTTCTTGTCATAGTATTTGCTATCTTCCTTGCTGATAAAATAGTTTGTACCTTACAGCTGAAGGAAATGGCCGATAGGCTTCCTGTGGGTTCCACCAGAAACATCAAGTCACCAACCTTAACTTCACTGTGTCCCCCTTCAATATCTCAAGATGCTACTATTGCTTCTTTTGATCGACCGAACGAGCAGGATCATGAGTCAAACGAGCCAAACAGCCTATTGCTCTCTAATGGGTCCAGCACTGCAACCTACCGCAGCATGGGCCACAGCAGACAAGGTCTAGCAGAAGCAACACCAAGATCTGGAAATAAAACAAAGGAAAATGAATCCCAAAGCGTAAATGAATGGGTCGAGCAAGATGAGCCTGGTGTTTACATTACCCTTACCTCCCTGCCTGGAGGGCTCAAGGATCTCAAGCGAGTTCGTTTCAGGTATTTTGCCCTTGAGTTTTAGCCTTTGCATTCTTTTTCGGTTCTTTGTTTCAGTATAATCTTTTGAATTTAAATTTTCTTGTTAACTTTAGCTGGATATTTTATTCTTAAATCTTCTCGTATATGTCTAGTATAACTGACACCCAACCATGTTTAGCTTATTATCTACAACTGTATATTAGCTTCTAGAGCAGGTTTTAGAGCGAATAGCAGTGTAAATCGTGGATGATACAGCATCAATTCATAAATTTCACATTAATTTTAACTCAAATGCTGCTGTGTTTTCTGAATACTGATAACTAGATGATACATATTTCAACCAAGTACAAAAGTACCCTAGTTTGGTGCCCAAAAAAACCTGTTGAATCAGTGATGAAAAGTGAAAACATCAATGTAATATCTTAGTATTTGTGATAATATCAATTTTTTTTTTTCCCTTTTGTGTGTATATCAATGTAATTTCTTAGGACCTGTGATGATAGTATCATTTTTCTTTCCATGTGTGTGTGAATAAACATGGTTACAAATGGTTGAATACAGTCGGAAGCGGTTCAGTGAGAAGCAAGCGGAGCAATGGTGGGCAGAGAACCGGGCAAGAGTATACGAACAGTACAATGTACGTATGGCTGACAAGTCGAGCGTTGGTGTAGGAAGTGAGGTTTTGGGACGTTAATATTGGACACAGCATACGTATATGATTCTTTTTTCTTTTTTTTTTTTTTGGTTTTCGTCATTTTTGCTTCGGTAATGTCATACTATGATGAAATAGGTTTTAGCTTTCATGTTCCTTATGGGTTGGCTAGAAGAAAAGGAATCGCCATGACAAAAGCAAGTAGAGAGGGTTTTGTCGTCTCATCTTTTTTTCCCCTTTTTTTTAACGCTTTCGTGTTCCTATGGCTTCACTAGCCAGTCACTTTTTCCTCAGAGGAGTTTGAGGGTGAAAAATGTAAAGTTGTGCTAGGGTGCTGGCTCCATGTAAATTTTATAAGCAAAATCCTCTTTCTGGGTTTAAGATTTATTCTGCATTGTACGTTTGTGCTTATTGCCCACCTTACTACAAATTTATTTTCTTGAGGAAATTATTCTCACACGATTCACATCATTTATGTTACACTTTCACGGCTCAATAAAAACCTTTAACGAATGTACCAAATCTATTAATTTTATTTGCAAACGCACGAGGAATGCAGTTAAGCAATATTAATATGTTATTTATAATTAAGAAGGATTTAATGGGATTAATTACCTAATTTAATGGAACCAAGACCTTGTGCATTGCACAGATGTAAATAAAGTATTGTAAATTACTTGTATGGATATAAGTTTATAATTATAAATTAAATAATGATATTATATTTTAGACATAGAGTATTCAAAGACGGATTTGAATGGGGGCCAGGGGGGCCGTGGGCCACCCTGATTTTTTTTAATATATAAATATAAATATATATATATATATATATTTATATATAGTTGGGATCATATGAGAATGGTAAATAGTGAAAGAAATGAGAATAAATCTGTACCATTAGATTCAACATAACAATGGTTATGATTTAATCAAAATTAATTATGGCAGTCAAATTGGCGGTGGCAGTTTTGTAAATCTATAAATATATAATTTGGCATAACAACATTTAATTTTATTATAATGCATTTAATTATATTTTCCCTCCAATTTTTTTAGCATTTAATTATATTATTTCACTTCCCTCCAATGCATTTAATTATATTATTTCACTTCCTTCCTAAATCTGCTACATATGTTATACTGTTTTTTTTTCTGATTTTTAATTCTCTTTGTTACCACACATAATCAATAATTACATGTATTTTTCACCTAAATTTTTTTATTATATTAAAACTATTATCCTCTATTTTTCAAGTAAATTACATCATCAAATCATGCACTTTATTTGAATTATTTGACATAAAACGTGTAAGAATTGATATATAATCATTTTAGTTGCAAATACTCAAAAAATAAATCAAATTACAAAATTTGATATTTAAACTGAAAAAAAAAATATTAATCTCCAATCTGCTCTTGCTATTATACCTGCAAAATAACAGTAAAAAAATTAATTATTAAATATTAGCTATTATAACACAATATCACAACATCATTCTATAATTAAATATTAGCTATTATAACACTATATCACATCATCATTCTATGATTAAATATTAGCTATTATAACACAATATCATAACATCATTCATAATCTGCTATCAAACATATTTATTTTATTATTCAGAAATTATTATTATTAAATATAGGATCCTGATTAGCAACTAATTTGACTTTATTAATTTCTATAGCTAAAATCATGCAAAAAATACCTATACGTTTTTAAAAAAAATTCTATGTCTTAGTCAAACAAGTAATATATATATATATATATATATATATATATATATATATATATAATTTAGAGCAACAAAGCATTAAATTATATTACCTAAAATCTAATTATATTATCCCTCCAAAATTTGAGCATTTAATTTTATTATCCCTTCAAAATTTCCAGCATTTAATCATATATCCTATTATATTGAAACGATTATCTTCTATTTTTGAATTAAATTACAACCTCAAATCATGCACTTAATTTGAATTATTGGATATAAAACGTGTAAGCATTGATATATAAGCATTTTAGTTGCAAATAATAAAAAAATAAATTAAATTACAAAATTACATATTTAAATTGAAGTAAATATCAATCTCCAATCTGTTGTTGCTATTGTACCTGCAAAATAACAGTAAACAAATTAACAAATGAGATATTAGCTATTATTATTAAATGTCATATTATCACTTTAAATAACGATTATTATAAAATGTGATATCATTAAACAAAAACAACAAATAACAAAAAATTGAAAAAAAAAATTACCATGATTTGTAATATACATCACACTATCATAACATCATGCTATAATCATACAATTAATTTTTTAACATGTGGGTGGAGAAATCATGTCATTATATATATTTAATTTATTTTATTTGTTCTAATGTCTTAAATAATTAAAAAACGTGTGAATTAATTCTTCATAATTTAATTTACTTTATTCCTAAAGCTGAAATATAATTTCTATTTGTTTTTAAATTTTTTTTGCAAAAACACATAATATCTTAAAAATTCAAAATCTACTATTAAACATCTCTGAATGTTGTATTCAAAATCTGCTATCAAACACATAATCTCGGTGTCCTATGCTATGACGATCAACAAGAGTCAAGACCAATCTCTCTCACACGTCGGTTTAGTCTTGAAGAAACCTGTTTTCAGTCATGGACAATTGCGTGGCTCTTTCTAAAGTCACAAATCGCAAGAGTTTGAAGATAATGATATGTGGTGATGGTGATTCCGACGATAGAAAAACCTTGAATGTTGTAAACAACAAATAATTTAATAATATTTAGAATCATTTTCTTAATTCATATTTTTTTAATTAAATCATGATTTTGAATCTTTTTATATGCGTAACTCTTCTAATTATTCTTCTCCGTGCAAATGCACGGGTTAATTACTAGTAAGAGTTTATTTCATAGTAAAAAAATACACATCAACCACTAAATAAGGGCAGAAGGGTCATTACAAATTCATAATAAATCTTAAGTGGGTCCCACCACTACCACCAACAAACATACCTTTTTCTCACAACTTCCTCTCTCTCTCTCTCACACACACACACAGAGACGGCGGAACCCCAATCCACAACCACCGCCCGTCGTCTCCGACCTCACCTAGCGCCGCCCACGCCGTCGTCCGTTCACGACACCCGCTGTCGGTCGTCGTCCGTACCCCACTCGCCGCCGTCGCCTTCCGTCTGCCACCTGCCGTCCGCCACAAAACCCTCCGCCCCCGAACAAGAGATGCTCCTGAAGACGACGACGATGTGGCCACCGATTAACGCTTGTTGCAGCGGCGTGCCGCCGCTGATGTTGTGGTCGCCGGCAAGCTTGGCCATCCGGGTGATGAGGTGGTTGTTAGAATTGAGGTGGTCGATGATGGTGGCGTTGTGACGGGACCGGCGAAAGACCACCGACGGCCGCAAAATGAGGCGCTCGACGGGAAATGAACGGGCATGAAGATCAAAAGATTTTTAAATTTATGGAGAGGGACTTGTTTTTGTGAATTTGATTAATTTTAAGGGTTTATTGAAAATAAAATATTAAAATGACATTGCATTTAATTTGTTGACGCACAAAGAGCAGGTTAATGAATTAATGTGGGACCACAATTGATTATTTATTATTAAAATAAATGGAATCAATTGTGCACTACTATTTCAGTATTTTGTTGCAAAGCTAATAATAGATGGTTGACCAAGAGCATCTCCAATGGTGTCATGTCTATTTTGATATGTATGTTGTGAAGAAAAGCAATAAAAATAGTTTGTCTCCAATGGTGAATGTCAATTGTATAATAAATTGACATATGTAAGAACATAATTAGTTGACGGAGAGAGATATATATTATGACTTCATTTCACTTTGCTTCGTCATACTTCAAATAATATAATATAGATTGAAGATGTCTAGAAGTCTTTCTACATCTAGAAAGACTTCTAGAAATTTAACATGCCACATTGGATTTTTGGAGACATGTGGCAATTGAATGGAACAATGCACACTCCATTGGAGATGCTCCAATGACCATCAATGTTCAGTCCATTCAATCCCTGTTGATAAATTTTGAAATTACCGGTTTAATTTGACGGTTAACATATTAAGCATTGACATAAATTATATTATTTATTATAAAAAACATATTATTATTTAATATTCTTTATTTGATTTTTATATTATTTTTTATTAAAGAAATTAGTATATATGTAAACGAAATATACAGTGCAATCTAATAGTTTTTAAGGTGCAACTCGTCCAACACTATGGTGCACGGTATCAGTCTGTATTGTGCAAATTGAACTAACCGAACTTTTGTCCCAAATCAAATTGAAACTAAAAATAATTAATTGATTTATTCAGCTCGATTAACCGAATTATACTAATAATTAAAATAAATTATAAAATATATTTAAATTATATTTAATATGTTAATAATTTTATTTTTAATTTTTATATTATTTTTGGTTGAAAAGTATTTTGTGTTTGGTCGGTTCCAATCTCTATTGTGCAATCTGATGGTCGTGATACATTGCAACATGTTGTTTTATAAAGTGCAACATGCTGTCGTATAAAACGCAACGTATTGATATATAAAGTGTACTATTGTAAATTTAGTATGTTAGCATGCTCTTTTTTCATTTTGTTCTTTTTTTGATGTGTTTTTACGTATGATGTGATGAATGTTAAAATATTATGTAGATCTATTTTTTAGAATTATGTTGTGTGATATTTTGGCGGGATATATTTACGTTAATTGTGGTTTGTGGAGGTAAAGTGCAATGTATTGCATAACAAAGTACAATGTGTTGTCTTATAAAGTGCAATGTACTGATATATAAAGTGCAACGTACAGATATATAAAATGCAACATACTGATATATAAAGTGCACTATTTTATATGATTCTAGATAAACTATGGGTTAGTTTGGTTACTTTTATTGATTGAGCTTGATTAATATCTACAAAAATATTAAGGTGTTATCCTTTGGATAGAAGAGTTCTAATAACTTGTTTGGTTGATAGTGATAATTATAACATTTAAGTGGAACTTACATTTTTACCCTTCGTTTATAGTTAAATTTTCAAATCATGTACCAATCCAAAAATCATTATTCTTCATGAAATTTTCATATTAAAAAACAATTTAAACATCCCAATTACCACAAAATAATTAACACAACATACCTTTAATTAATCTGGACAGTTAATTGCCCTTTGATAGATCCAAAACAAAACAAATTTCTCCAATTTTATTTTTTCCCCTCAATTTCCAAAGTGCACTCAGATTTTTCTTTGAAAAAAAAATCGGGAGATTGAGTTATTGCACTCAAAAATTGAAAAAAAAAGAATGGAAAAATTGGGTGTGAAGGGAAGCGTCCCGCCACTATCACTCCCCATCAATCGTTTGCTTCCCGTTCGGAGGCGCTCTACGATTTTTTGTGTTTTTTTTTTGTTTTTTGTTTTTAATGAAGAAGATGAAGACTGAAAAAGAATGGAAGGTGTTTAGTTAATTTACGAAGAAAAAAAAAAAGAAGAAGATGAAGAAGAAGATTGAAGAAGAAGAAAAGAAAAAGAATAATATATGTATTTTGGGTGTATAATTGATTTTATGGTAATTGATAAGACATCACACCAATTTTGGGGGATATGGTGATAACATCTTAAAGGATATTGGACCGGGCCTAACCCAATTTTCAGGGCCTAAGAGTATCTAACCAAACAACTTAATCTTGTTGATAAAATAACAAATGATGTGATATCATTCACAATCACCCCAACCAAACTGACCCTATGTGTATTAAAAAACTATTATCAGTAGATAAAATTATGCATCGAATTACAGTAAAAATTGAAATATTTTTATTATTTATTATTTATTATTATTTATATTTATCATTTTTATTTATTAATTAATATATATGTATAAAAAAATATATTTAACAAAAGTTTTTAACATTCAATAATTACAGCACTTGATGTAAAACCACACAATAATGATGTAACAGAATAATAAATGAAGCCCAAATAAATCTGATGTGCGAGTTTCATTGAATTAAACCAAATGTAATAAATAAAAATCTATTTCATCAAACATGTATTGAGGCCGGAAACTATCTCATACATCATGAGATATAAGTAAAATTTATAATATTGCAATTAGGTCCTGAACTCTTTCTAATTTTCAAAAAAAAGACCCAACTCCATTTTAGCAATTGCAGGTGTGCGGGGGTCTCCTCCAGGCGCGGATCTCGGCCAATTTTTCAACCGGAGATAGAAACTCTGACCGTTTGCTCAACAACACCAGAAACCTCTTGTTTGGGGTTGGTGGAAGGTCGAGTTGGTCGCTAATGGAGGCCTCGGAGTTAGGCAGAGGCGGCGGAGGGCTATCAGCTGTGTCGAGGTTGCCGCGAATGGAAGGTCGTTGATGATGAAATCACTGCGACAACGGAGGAAACGACGGAAATTTGTACAGGAGGTTCAACGCAGTGGTGGCGCGGCGACGCCGGTGGTGTGCCAGAGGTGGAGTCGTGACGACGGCGGCGGGAGCGTGATGACGACGGCTGCGGCGACTATGGATGGCTGAAGGTCCGCAGGTGACTGTGTGTATTCTGTCGGCAAGTGCGTGTTGTGTGTGTGTCGCGTGCGTGTGCACTGTGTTAGTGTGTGTGAGAGAGATAGAGTGTGTGTGAGAGAGAAAGGGGGTGAGGTGGGTGATGATTCTGGGAATGGTAACGATTAATTGATTTAAATGGGGGTGGGGCCTACTAATATGGTAGATAGTTGGTGTGTGAGTAAATATCCATAATACCCTTAATGATGATATAATTTGACTTTTTTTAGCCATTAGATCATCCAATCTAATTAATATGATCTATTCTTATTTCTTTCACTAAGCATTTTTCTCGCTTGAACCCAACTCTATATATATATATAGGGGAGGATCCAATGAGTACACTCCTTAAAATGAGTACACTC